TTTACAGTTTCCTTTGTATCTAAATGAATATCCCCTTTTTTAAACGTTTATTTTAAATCACTCCCACTCTCTAATGCATATAAACCCTATTGTAAATCGGCGAATTCATTATGTTCAATTAAGACTTTACAATTCGGCGTGGACTCAATACAGCTCACTTCAATTCCACTCAACGCAACTCAGCCTGACCCAACTCAGCCTCTTGCAACCCAAATCGACTCACGCAATTCAGCCTGACCCAACTCAACTCAACCCAATACAACACAACACAACCCAATTCAAAGCAGCCCAACGGATCTTAGGAAGCCGATCGACAACATTGGTGATATTTGGCTATTGGTCGACATCGCACTCCACGATTCAGAAAAAACCCACCACGGCATATAAAGATATGCAATTATTGGAATTTCATAAACAAGTAAAATTGAATAATATGTAACGAAACAAAAGTGACAATCACTGCAGACCTACGGATACAAATGTTGAAAGCTTCTTCACAGAGGTGTAGAATCTCCAATTTGAGCGCGGTCCGTTCTATCAAATCTTCGAGCACTCCTTGCACAGTATCGGCCGGTTCCGTGCACCTGTACCGGAGACTACTGATAACTGCTTTTACTTGTGGACATTGCCACAATTCGTCACTATCCTTTTGCTTACAAACGCCGTGGCTTCTGAAACCGACATCAGTTTGTTCGGTAAAGGCATAAACAGCTTTTTTTAAATATTATTTAAATTTTAATTAAGCGAACGATAGCTATAGGGAATAGCAGTTTAAAATTCTGCGAAGCTTGTAAATGATCCGTTTTTTTGAATCAAAAGTGTTTGTTTTGCAAATTTTTTGAAATCTAAGACTGAAAGTTGAAACTTGAAGCGGAAATCCGTCAACAGCTAACCGGAAGCACAAAGCAAAGGCATGCATTAACATCAGATCCTCTCGATTCCAATCTGTTGCCCTTTCCAGTAAATACTTCAGCAAAGAGGCGTAAGCGCGATAATGAATCTGTAATAATGCCAATATCTCATTAATAACTACTGAATCAGTTTTTGCTGCAGTTCCTGTATGATCAGAAGTATGCAGATATATGCAGATTTTTATGCAGATTTTTTCTCTTTTTAAATCACCTCGATTGCTTCCACATGCTCCTGCCTTTTGGTATTGATTCTACTCGGATACTGAACTCCCGCAACTTCCAGTTGAAGAGCTGATTCACGATAATGATGGAATACCTAAATAACCCGTTCGAATCTCATTCACTTTTCCTTGACCATTAAATCAAAAAGCAAATTTAAAAGTTCAAAAAATTGGTTGGTCTGATCTGGATTCAAAAAAATTCCAAGTCAAAAAGATTACATCTTCAAGGGTGTCTCCGCATTTCTCTGCAATTTTCGCTAGGAAGTAGTGACATCGCCATTTGTCTACATCACCGTCCGGCAAACGTGATATGCAGGTTTCAAACTGGCGTCGGCTTTCTTCCAGGAGGCCTTTGATCCGGCGGTCAGCCCATCGATGCCGAATATCATCCAAAGAGAGCTAAATTTAGTGAAGCATAAAGTCATAGTCCATTTTATCAAACCACATGAGAATACTGAAGCTTTAACAATATTATGCTCAATAAACCTTGTCTCTATATCGACGTATCCGAGAATTGATCTGATATAATGCGCTACCGAAATTAAATATAACATATCGATCAGATGGATCAAAAAAAAGAGCCATTCGAAAAGAAAATACACTACAATCAAAGTGCAGGGACATTTCATCCTCATCAACCTAGAAATGATCTGATTAAGAATAATTTACAAAATCAGTTTATTTTACTTTCAAGAAAAGAAACATAAATACACAGTCCTTTTCTTGTAGTACCTACAAATCGCCTGACCTGAGTATTGAGTAAAAACATGGGTCTAACTGCACGGAGTATATTACACACTGCTATTAAGATCGAATTATCTATATTACAAAGTTGTATTTCACCGGTTGATATCCTTTTGTTTACTAATAAAGGAAAACTTTCCGTGAAGAAAACTGAGGTAGCAGCGAATGCTAGGACGGTCCAATCCCAAAAAAACACTTCTTTGGGTAATGTAGCAGAAGCACAAAGAAGAAACAATTTAGCGTACTGGACAGCATCATCTACTTTGTGGCTGCGATATGAATGCAGTGCTAGTTGATAAAATACTCCTGATCGGAGTGGAGAACTTTCTGCACATCGAGGCCAATCTGCGCGAACTTCTGCTTGCGCAATGAAACGATCAAATACGAACAGCTACAAAATGAACTGATGATTCTGAAGGCAAAAGATCCACTAATCAGAAGTAAAAACACACGTGGTGTCGAAAAAAGTTTTTGACAACACAACAAACAAGTTGACAGGGATGGATACAACTTTGATGTTACGTAAAATCTCTTTAAGCCTTTTGTTGCTTTTTTAGCCAATTTAAAAACCAACTTTTCAGTTTTAATTTTTTATTTCTCAAAATAACCCACCCCATACGCCTACTTTTCCTTTTCATTAACCTGTATTTTTCTTGTAATTATGCAAGAAAAAAAATTTCTAACGCGACGTGACCTTATGTATACTTCCAAAGTCTATAAATATGCCCAATACCTTTTCTTTTTCATTCTCTGTAGGTTCCAGAAATGAAGATGCTTTCTTTTGCACAAACTCAATCAGATCAAAACAACAAGTGCCATCATATGGAGGTATTTTATCAGGTAACAGCAGCGACAAGACGTTCTCAATATCTTTCAAACTTGGCTCATGATTGTGTGTACCGCCATGTTCTTCCAACTGTCTCTTACGTCTTGATGGACACCTGAATAGCGAAAGTGCAAGAAGTATCCAGAAGTTTCGGAATAAATTTGAAATCTAATTTCAAATAAATTTCCCACTGCAGCTGAACATCACAACTTACCCGTATAAGCAAAATAGACACTGATGCACTTCATCTATGAAAGCACGACTTTGTTCGATACATTCGCGAGTTGAAAGAATCTCAACGACTGCAGGATGAGCCCGAATTTTTGAAAATTCATTCAAAACAAATAGCGGGAAACTATGCTGAAAATATAACATGACAAATCTTTAGTCCATCACTACTTCCCTTTAAATTATATAGACGTCACGAAATACAAACTACTTTCAGATTTCCAATATTTTGAAATGTTGCAGATTTGAAAGTGGTAATTAGGAGCTATACCTGTGACCAACATCGCTGTGTTAACCGTGTTGATCTATGTGAAGTAGTCTGTAGATAAAGTCTACTATAGCAGAAAGAAAAATGGGAAGGAAATTTCTTGAGGAGGCTACCAGTAAAAGACGGAAGTTCCCCTTCAAAATTTTAGCTGGAGAGGAATTCAGAAAAAAAGAATACATCATCAACGAAGCATCTGTTATGCTTTGCTATCGCTTCATGCGCAGTGACTAGGATATTCAATGCAGAAGTAAGCATTTGACAACCACCGTCATATAGTGTGGATAGTGTTTCCACTGTGTACTCTCCCTCCAGATGGTAAGCACAACGGTACAATATAAGCCAAAGATCAGTGTCCTAAAAAGATTTAGTGTCAAATTCAAAAATGCCCAAATTTACTTTTTCACTCTGTGTGTGATTTCATGAACACTTAAAACAAATACATACTGATTCATAGCCACCGAGAACAAGAAGATGAACAATGCAATGCACTAGGTTAGAAATATTTTCCAAACAGATACGTTCTATAACAAGCCGTTTCAACCTTGTAATCACTTCCTCAGTTCCAGCAAATCCTCCAGTAAAATCAAGCAATCTATAATTTGCAAATAATTTGTAATGAGACCTTATGTTAAATGTCTCATACGTCTCAAAGAAATATACCTGCTAATCCATTCAGATGCACCATCCATATCATTTAATTCAAGGTATGAATCAATTAGAATTGTTGCTGTTGAAAGAAGTGCACTACGATCAACATCCTTCCAACTAAAGTTATCGATGATAATGTCAACCACCTAAACCATTTATTATAGACAGTTCCTAAATCAACATCACTTTCATGTGACGAAATAATGGACAAGAGATAAATTATGGTTTTAGATTCATAAAACACAAAAAATTATAATGGCAACTTCCCGCATTAATTAATTAGTTACCAAACTGTTCCTTCTTTCCAAAAATTTGGCAAATTTCTAGAATACATTTTTTTAGAACAAATCAAATTTCTAGAAGATATACTTTTTTTTTACAAATGTTTACTGTATAAATACCTTATCAAAATGACGATTATCAAACAATCGCTGAATAGCTTCAAGGCTTTCCCGACGTTCCATTTGGGCAATTAGATTCTGAACTGTTTCCAAGGTGATTAATTCATGGCCACTAATCAGCGATTGGTACTTGACTTTAGAATTACAACCAGATTTTAACATAGTCAATAACAACCATATATGATTTTTACAAACCTGAAAGCTGAACATCAGGAATACACCATTTTTCTTCAACAGAAAAGAAAAGGTTATGAGTAGTGTTAACTGAATTTTTTTTAATCAGTTGCAACTTTTTTTCCAGTTTTTTCCAACTAATCAATTTCCTAGTTCTTTTAAAGATAATTTAAGCAAAAGCCATAAAAATGCCTTGTACCTGAAAAGGGAAAGTGTTTGTACCATTTACTGCAATTGACCAAAGTATTCGAACGCGTAACTCTTGCTCCAAAGACGAAGAAAGTGAAGAGTAGCAAAGAAACATGGCTTTTTCGGAGCCCAGTTCAGACAGCATCGTATGAATAGGAAGAAGTCCGTCGCCACAAATCATTGAAGTATTCCCAAAATTAGTAATCCATCGGATATAACAACCAATAATGACCTAAATGAAACAACAGAATAAGCTGTTTTTTTCCGAACGAGTCCCGATAAACAATTAAAAAGGCCAGGAACAATCACAATCAATCAAGATAAAATTAGTGCTCATGGACAATCAGAGAAAAACAGTGGTTTCAAAATAAGTCACCAATCTACTGCAAAATTTGACCGATATAGTTCGTCATGGTGTTTGAGTGGTGAAAGCTAATTAAGCTACGTGGAACAAGTCCAAAAGACATTTTCATCAGTCGGCGTTTAAAAACAGTTAAAGACAACACCAAATTATCAAAATTTAATGAGTGGATCAACTGATAAGAAAAATTGTGGGGTTGAACGTGAGTCTTTTCCAGTAGTACGAAACAAAACTGTAACCGTAGTTTATTATATTAAATAGTTCCCCTTAATGAAGAGACATTTCTCGCAATTAATCTCAACGGACCGGAAATACTATCTTATCCCATCTAATTATTCCAGCATTATTTCCTATTCTTTGTTTTTCCAGCCTTGCTCATATTGTTCTCGAACAGATTATAGGAGACCTATTGCACATCCATTCTGATTCTTTCAAGAGGAAACAAGTAAACAAAAATAGGTTTGGAACGATTAGTTTAATTAAATCCACAAAATTCCCCTTGTCAAGAAATTCGCCCTCCACACCCAGTTTCTCGCACGTAATTTTCATTTAAAAACATAGAAGTACCTCTCGTAAGTGGTCCGTAATAACAATGCAAAAGCAGTTCCTCGAGTACCAAAACAATAATTGCTCCAAAATCTCAAAAATTCGTCCATTTTCATCCATAAACTTGCTTGCAAGGTATACAACACATCTACGCAGCGATGTTCTATCATCTATCAGCAAGTATACAGGTGCTCTTCTTGCAGGTAAGTCTGCCATTGAAGATGGTTTCATCGACATAAGTGGAACAATCGAGGATTCTTGTGCGCATGAATAATTTAGCAGCTGAAACTTGCACAGTCGACAAACTAATTAATAAGGGAAAAAAAGCCCGAAAGAAATAAGCACAAGGTGGATTATGCATAATTCAAAACAGATACACTCATAAACGTACTGAGGCAATCAAAATCTTTTCATTTTCTGAACCAGATTCTTCAATATTAAATTCAGCGCGAAAACGAACGGAACGTCGTCTCCAGTCCAAACCCGAATCTGATTGTTTTCGCTTTTTAAGAGGCACATGAAATTGCAAACATAATCATTGTTTAATATCAATAATGATATGTCATTCAGCACAACATTTTTCGCTGAGATAGAAGTGCGCATCGATGCAACTATAACAATTACTCATAAATCCATAGTACGAATTACATCTCTCCAATGAAGTAATACCTAGAATACAAGTATTTCTTTCTTTGAAAATGATTATGTATATTTCCACCTATTCAGTACAATTTTATTTTATAACTGCAGTTTTTATCTACTTGAATTTCGCAAAAAGAAAGTTTATATGCAGAACAAACGAAAAATACAAAAGCCAACACAACTTACAATACTCGAAGCAGGTTGAATAACTTCTACGGATACAATTCTATCAATTAAATCCTGGATCACGTTAACACAATCTATAAGGTCATTAGAAACATCGTGAACAACTTCCTCGAATTCATTCAACAGATTCCTGCTACATACCACAACAGATTGTTTTGAGAACTGCAGAAATATGTTGATAAAATGTCCTAGTATAATTAGTGCTTTGATAGCTTTCGAGTTCCCAGACCAAATTTTAAGACTTCACACCTTTTGTAGATGTCTAGATATCTCATCTTGATTCACTTACATATGGATTCTTTGTAAAAGAAAGATTACTTTCAAAATGCACTCATAACATCGCTCACGAGCAAATTCTCTCAGTGCACTGGGAAAATAAAATTGTGTTATCAGTATGGAAGGTACAGTTGTTATGGTTCTCAGAAAGAAACGTGGAAAGATAGAAGTAATAAGCGACTTACACTGGAAAAGGATTCGATGCGGTCATATATATCGCACAAATAAACTCCTATTTCCGCTAAGCTGAAAGAGGAAATGCAAAATTCGAAAAAATAAGCAAAAGTGAAAAGATCGTGTTTTGCAACAACAGAAAAGACAACATACTTTGAACAGATGCCCAACTCAACCACTATTGGTCTGAACACAGGTTCAACGTTAGCAGTAGACCTTCCAATATTTGCGATTTCATTTACAATCTGCAAATGAGCTCAAGATAATGACATTAAAATAATCATCCATAAATTTGAACATCTTCGAAAAACACAACTATAGAGTAGCTCTTTCTAGAGTTTTCGGTTCACTTCTAAAGTTCTCAGACTCTCCTGCTTCGAGCTACTGAACGCTCCTATATGATTCAAAATACCATTCTAAACTATTTCAATAGAAAATAAAAACAGAACTTGACTAACAAAGTGCGAAACATGAAAACTACATAATCTAAAAAAAATAACGAATTTGCAACATTAACAATGGAGAAATAGGAATCAAACAAGCCACCCATTCTTTTTCTTTCTTTGTAATTTTCATAACATCTTCATCTTGCACAAGAGCCGGATCTTCGTTAAAAATCTGACGACATCTCATTTCCCAGTACGAATTTGTTTCCCGAATTATTTCTTTCAAAACTCGTCCCAAAAAATAGGTCTTGTCGTATTCTAACACAGATTTTATTTTTAGGAGACAATCTGAAACTATTAAAAACTCGTTGGATGGTATATTATGTCTCTTTCCAATGCAATTTGGTTCTGACCAAAATCTAACTGTAGCACATGAGATATGCTGCATAAGAATGACTGGACAAGTTCAGTTCGCACTTCGTCATCGTGCAGATCTCCATATTGTGACAATATTTGACGAATTTATTTATTTCACATTACATTTATTTCATAAAATATTTCATTTTCATCAAATTTAAATATTTCCAGACAAATTTTTTTTTAAAATACTTCTAGGCAGAGCATGAAGTAATTACTTATTAAAACATATCTTTAAACATTAATACCAGTATAGAGATATTAATTCCTGAAACACTCATATGAGCATAAAAAACACAAGACAATTTAAATGTAAAGTAAAGCTTGGCATCTCAAACTGCATTGCATCGCACCACATCAGATGGATGAGTAAATAACTCTTGAATCTTGGCAACAATTAACAAAAGATTAAAATACCTTCAAACAGGTTGGCGTTATACAAAGCGATAAGAATCCCGCGAATAACACTCCAGACAGACGAACAGTTTCTGAATGCGTACAGTGCCATAGACCAATCCCGTACTTTCAAGGATTCTTCTCCTACATACTTCCATAAATATTCATCATTTGGATATACGGTTAACGCCTGCAACATGG